ATTTTTCTCATCCTGCACTACTAGTCATCACTTCATAATACAGTTTCTTTCACATGCAAGAGATTCTAAAATAAGCTGCCTAGACACAGTGCCTACTTTACCTCTTCTTTCTTTCATTTCTACTTTTTTTTTCATTCTCTTCCCAAGTAGCATATTCTTCCAGCCTCTACATCTTTTTGTGTTTTTAATAAAAGCATGTTCCTTAGGAGGTAAGCCATTAGTCAACTTTTTAAAAAAAGTATATTCAGTGGATACAAGTAAATAACAATGAAAAATCCATCAAGTAATATAAGATACAAACAAAAGATCATTAATGAAATCTAGAACTCAGGGTTTTCCAAGAGAGATTACTTAAGGAGAAAATAAGTTTGTTCAGTGGATAAAACATTGTTCTATGGGTGGAATAAGGAGAGTGGAAATGCCTCATTTTCTAGTTCAAGGGAATGTCACAGACCAGGGATGGCACAGAGTTAAAAACATATTTCTTCTGCTCCTAAAGGAAGCCATAAGAAAATTAGCTTCACTAAAGTTTGAATAAAATGGAATAACAAAGAAAAAGAGCTATTTAAAAATGTGATATACTGTGGTAGATCTTGCAATGAGAAAGATACTGTTTGAAGGATACAGTGCCAGCTGCTGGTTTTTATAAAATGCCATGGTGAGGAAGGCCTGGTGGAGACTAGGAAGAAAATTTTTGGTCTAACCAGGTACAAGTGAAAAGGGCGGTGAGAACAGAAAAAGAAATCAATTTTTTGGAAAGCTTTTTCTTCTAAAATCAATTGATTTATAAATTATTACTTTCTAAATCAAATTTAAATTGTTTTGTCTGATTTCACGCCATCACTGGCCTCTAATTCTTCCTCATCAGCTACCAGCAACTCCTGCCTCCCTTCCACCAATAGAAACATCAGCTAATCCTTTGCCTATCATCTTGCATCTCTTTTCAGTTTCTTTATTTTATGTATTATTCAACTTATGCATTATTGTGTATGCATTATTATTCAAGTTATATAGTTATGCATTACTCAACTTTATTATTATTCAACTTAATCTTTTTATGTATTATTCTTCCTGCTTGAGGGACAGTAGATTGTGAAAAGCGTGGCATTTGTTTTTCTTCACAGAAAGGTCACTTTAAGGTATCTCTTCTATATATTCATTCGTCAAACTTTTTTTATGGCATATGAGCACATTAAACATAGAAACAATATCATTGTTCACCTTGGCATGAGTCTTTTAGACTGTGGACATTCAAAATAAAATTAAAATTAAAATAATACCATTTTGGTTCATGATTAAAATGTACTAGCTAGAAACTGTATCCTTACATTTTCCCCAGATAATTGATCTTTTATATCCCCTTCTAGTCTAGAGAGGATTTTTCTTTGTTTTTTTTTTTTTAGAGGGGATTCACTTTTGTATCCTCCTAAGCTCTTAGCATAGTGCCTTCTGCGTGCTGTATAACAGTATATTTTTATTAATGGGCCAAGAATTAATTTCATTTAATCAGAAAACAAAGGCAATTAAACCTATATTCTGCTACTACCGTTCTTCACCTGTTTCTAAAGCAAATCCTTTCAGTTTGGTCAGTAAACCTTCCCATTCTTGTATTTACTATTATAAGTTACTTTTGTTGTTTAAGGAAAGAGTTTGTGGTTCCTTTTGCAGCTTGAACAGCAAATTTTATTCTGTTTCTTCTGTGTTGGTCTGTATAATCAATCCTCTATGAAGGTACCACTATTATTAGGTGTATACCCAAAAAAGAATTGAAAAAATAAGTGGACCCATAATAATTACTCAGTAAAAACAAGTGTGTCATTTTGGCTAAGAAGATACAAATGTTTTGCTTCTTAAAATTTATATAATTTACATTAAAAATTACATAATCATCTTCAACTTCTATATAAACACCCTTGATTTATGTGCCCTTTACAAAAGGAGACCCATGAATTTGACTGAGTTTAATGAAAAGTCTGATATAGTTACAGTAGTTTCAATTGCATTAATTGATCCTTTTCTCCAGAAACGACATACCTAGAGTGACACTGTTCTGTTTCTCAAGCTGTGGTCACATTAATTTTTTTTTTTTTTTTTTTGACAGAAGTTTGCTCTTGTCACCCAGGCTGGAGTGCAATGACACTATCTTGACAGGCAACACCTGCCTCCAAGGTTCAAGCAATTCTCCTACCTCAGCCTCTTGAGTAGCTGGGATTACAGGTGCCCACCACCACACCCAGCTAATTTTTGTATTTTTAGTAGAAACGGAGTTTCACCATGTTGGCCAGGCTGGTCTCGAACTCCTGACCTCAGGCGATCCACCCACCTCGGCCTCCCAAAGTGTTGGGATTACAGGCGTGAGCCACTGCACCTGGCCTAAATTATTTTAAAATGATGTATAGTTATGCTTTATTATTTATTCTATGGAACTTTTAGAAACTGATTTACCAGTTACATTTTACTTGAAATTTATATTAGACACAGGTAAAGCAGAAGAGTGTCCATAAAAAGTTCCCAGTTTCTTTTTCTAACAGTCAATTTTAAATTAAAAGTTTGGAATGGAAAGTTATTGCATAACCTGTAACAAAAAAGACAAAATAGAGGTTGTTTCCACTTCTGATACTGTATGTCTATGATTTTACATCCATTAGTTAAAAGTCTATATTTGTAGTATTACCTTTTGAAATCACATAGCTCTTAAGCAAAATTAAGTATTATTTTTGGCATCTTGAAGATAGCTGAAATGAACTTCCTTTGTCTATTTTTTAAGCCGTGGTTTAAAATTTTTTTCTTTTTTTTATAGTGGCCTTAATTTCTGTGGTTTTATGAACAATTTATTTCTGTTTTTTTTTTAAAAAGATATACTGAAATGGTTCTCTGACTCATCAAAGTTCTGATAGATTCACAACAGCCAGTTAGTCACAAATTGTAGCTTACAGCTACAAATATGCCTGGCATTTTTTGTAGACTGTGATGTCTACTGCCTTTACAGTAGTATATTCATCCTTTAAATGCCACCATACTGAAAAATGCATATTTAATTTTATGAATGCCTTTACCAGAATTTTTCAAATGGTAAAATGTAGTGATAATTAGTTTCTTATATTAATAGTACCATAAGGTCTTTTTCTCATTTCAAAAAAACTCAAAAGTGCAAATTGTGTACATTTTGATGTGTAATACAGTTTTTTTTCCTTTTAATAAAGATTTATTTTCTTTTAGAGATACATGCTGAAATACTTAGAAGCAATATTGTATGATATCTGGGATTTGCTTCAAAGTACCACAGGGAAAGAAAGTGTAGATAGGGATAAAGATGAAATAAGATTTATTATGAGTTGATCATTGCCGAAGTTGGGTTATTGGTACATGAGGATTCATTACAATTCTGTCTACTTGTGAATACAGTTAACATTTTTCATAATAAAATACAAATTTATAACATTTTACTATAAGTTGATAAACTTCCATTAAAGTCAACATAACACAAGATTTTAAAAGCAAGGCACATCTCTAAACTCCCTATTTATTCCAACAAACTGCATGGTATAGTCTCTTAGTCAACTAAGATGGTAACAGTCTACATCACTTAATAATTTAATTGGGTGAATCCTGTTAAAATATTTATTGCATTAGCTCTATCATGATTCTTATTTCAAGCTCTCATGATCTATCTTTTGGCAGTATTAAATATTTATGAAAAGAATGAATGAAGGAAGCCTGAAATCTCTGAATTATTTTCCTATCACAGCACCTTTTGCAATTCCTTCTTACTTGTCCATATCGCCTCACTAGATTTTAAGCTTTAAAGGAGCCGAAAGTGAGTCCAGTTCACCACTGTGTCCCAGGCTAGTACAGTGTGTGGCATAAATTCAGTCTTGAACAAATATTTATGGAATGCATGTATTGATGAATCTGTCTTCTAAAGTGGTCTTCATGATTTCTGTCTCTGTTTTGGCCAGTCCACCCTCCATGTGGTTTCTGGGGGGATTGCTCTAAGCTGTCATTGTGATCATGTTTCACCCATCTATGGTGTTTCTCCCATGAGGGTAAGCATTCAGATGTTTGTACAGGAAGCTGGAGACCCAACAGCCTGTGGGACCTGCCAGAGGCTTGCTCCTCTTCTTCATCTTTCACCACTCCACACACTGTTTACTTGTGTATTTTATGCCATCTTTTTTTTCTGAGCATTTCCTCTCTGAGAATGTCATCCCCATTCACATTTTGAAAATGATGCCAATGGGAAATACCTTCCTCATCCTGGGGAGACTGAGACGATCTCTGTCCTGTACATCGCAGCTGGGGATGTAACAGCAAATGCTCTCAACACACATTGTACCTCTCAACTGTTCACAACCGTTTTCTTCTCATCATTTTCCTCCTCACCAACAGTGAGCATCCCTAGAGCAGGAATTACTTTTAATTTCTTTAACATCTTCATTTTCGCGGGCCAATAGAGAAACCCAGTAAACGTTTGCAGAAAGAGCAAATTAAGGAATGTATTTTTTTGCTAACCAATTGAATGAGTTTCCCATAAAAGCTGTGAAATCAGTAATATTGTGACCAACATACCTGAAGGTTGTTTTTCACATTTGCACCAGTTGCCCTCTGTTTTCACAGTGTAGTCGCCAGATCAAAAGACAATCTTCTGAATCGTATAAATTTAAGAATGAAATGCTGAGGTGAAGAAGGCCTTTGTGTGAACCAAGGAGCTAAAGGAAACAAGACTTTGGGGGGTTTTTTTAGAAGTTTAAGATTTATTTAGTAATGGGAATAAGTCTGATGATAATTTTAATGAAAGCTTCTGCTAGCTTCCATGGAGACTGAACGAGTGTTTCAGAGCTCCAATATAGCTGGATCGTTGACATTCAGAATATATTTTGTAAAAGAGCCAAAGTATAAGAATACTAAAATGTTGGAAGATGAGATCTCTCATTATGTTGACATGAACCTTAGAGCTTAAGAAGGTCATAGAGCTTTGGGTTTTTCTCTGTTTCTCGCAGATATGTCTTCTCCAACTACTATGAAGAAGCCTGAAAAGCCATTGTTCAGCTCTGCATCTCCACAGGATTCTTCCCCAAGACTGAGCACTTTCCCCCAGCACCACCATCCCGGAATACCTGGAGTTGCACACAGTGGTGAGGAGTTTCAAGCATAGAGGAGAAGCCTCCTTCTTGTCTGTAGGGCCCAAACCCTTAGGGATGGAGCAAAAGTTTATAAATATAGCTATGGCAACCATATTTTCTCAACCCAGATGGGGAGGGGCACAATCCGATCAAATATTTTTTCTTCTCGATTTATGAGAAAAGATTTTCTCCGGGTGTAGTGGCTCACACCTGTAATCCCAGCACTTTGGGAGGCCAAGGTGGGCGGATCACGAGGTCAGGAGTTCAAGACCAGCCTGACCAATATGGTGAAACCCTGTCTCTACTAAAAATACAAAAATTAGCCTGGCATGGTGGTGTGTGCCTGTAGTCCCAGCTACTCAGGAAGCTGAGGCAGAAGAATCACTTGAGCCCAGGAGGCAAAGGTTGCAGTGAGCCGAGATCACACCACTGCACTCCAGCCTGAGTGACAGAGCGAGACTCCATCTCAAAAAAAATTAAATAAATAAATAAGATTTTCAAAGTCTTACAAGTAAATAATATTTATAATATGTATTTTAAAATTGCCTTTATCAAAAAGATTGTTATCAGAAGAATGTGGAAAGTATGTGTACATAGCTGTCTTTATTATAGCTTCAGGATTGGTCCTGATATTTTACTAAGGAAAAGATGGAATTTCAGGTATGTTGCTGAGTTTAGAGTATTTCTAAAGGCATTAAGATACAAGGCACTATTTCTGTTGATGTTATTTTCTACATATAAATCGATATTTATCTATTTGAGAGTAATCAGAGAATGAAAGGTACTTTTCTTTGACAATTGTTTCATATGCCCAAATCCTTTGGGCTAGTACACTTGATATTGTGTCTAATATCTTAATTTAAGTAGGAAAATGAATCTAATATTTGACATTTGTACTTTAACCAACAGTTAATATCAAATCTTTCAAAAATTAAAAATGAGATACTGCTAATAATTAACACTGTATACTTTTTACCTATTGCTCTTAATTCCTAGAGAGGAGTAGACTGCATTTTATGTAGGAAAAGTTATATATATATATTAATATATATGTTAATAGTGAAACTGTTATTGGTTAAAATTTATAGTTAGGCACTTCCTCATCCTTCTAACTAATCAAATCTGGTTTTTAAATCTTTATACAAACAATGTAACATCTTTTAAAGTCCTTATTAGCTTTGGTTTGTAAGTATATGTTGATATTTATTGGTGCTATACTTAAAAAATACATGGCCTTTATTGCTATCATTAAAATTTTATGAAACTGAGAGAGGACTATACAACTTAAATGTGGTATAAGAACTTTTGCATTTATTACCTATACCATTGAGATAGGTAAAAAAAATCAATAACTGTTTCATAGGTTTGTAATGTTGAATATTTGGACAAAATTAACTGAGAAGTCAAATTACCCATTATTTATGACACCTGATAAAAATATTCTTATTTCTAACATGTGAAAAAAGTAGACAGTATATTTTTATATAATGAAACAGGAGAGACCTAGATGAGCCCTCCATCTTGGTCCTTCACCCGATATTTGTTTTGTATCTGTATATTAGGACCTGTGGTAGGCATCTTGTTCACAAAAGATCTTTTCTGCCCTTAAAGAGTTCAGGATATAGTGGGGAGAGAATGGGACCATGTCATTGGCTGGGCATCTAATCTGAACATGACTAGATAACCTGAAGAAGGATTAGATAACCTGAAGAAGTGTGATGGCAAAGTTCACCACAAGAAGGGACAATAAACTAGGAAGAAGAGGGGCAACCTGGGAGGCAGAGGGACATACTAGGAGGAAGAGGGGCAACATGGGAGGCATAGGGGCAAACTAGGAGGAAGAGGGGCAAGCTGGGAGGCAGAGAGGCTAACTAGGAGGAAAAGGGGCAAACTGGGAGGCAGACGGGCAAACTGGGAGGCAGAGGCAACAGCATCTATCAGTGCATTAGAGGTCATTACAGCAGGGAACTGCCGTATAGCCAAGGATCCACAAATCTCTTCTTCTGGCCAGAGATGAGGCCAAAGAAGTGATCCAGGACTCGGTCGCAGAGCACATGAGGTTGTGTGTACTGAAAAAGCTGTTGGGATTTTATTCTGGAAGCAGTAGGAAGCCATTGAAATATTTTTAGCAGAGAAGTTACATGATTGTAATGGTATTTTTAAAAAGTCATTCACATAGCACTATGAAGAATGTATTGGAAGGAGCAAGACTGAAGGAAAGAAGACAATTAATAAGGCTTTGCAATAATGTATGCAAAGAATACACATATGTGTGTATGTATTCTTTCATAATAAAGGAAAACTTTTTTTGTCTTGCATTTTGCTTCTCTTATTTTTTTTCTTTTTCTTTTTTTTTTTTTTTTTTTTGAGCCAGGGTCTTACTCTGTCGCCCAGATTGGAGTGCAGTGGCGTGATCTTGGCTCTCTGCAACCTCTGCCTCCCAGGTTCAAGTAATTCTCTTGCCTCGGCCTCCCGAGTAACTGGGATTATAGGCAGTCACCACCACGCCCGGCTAATTTTTGTATATTTTTAGTAGAGATGGGATTTCACCATGTTGGCCAGGCTGATCTCGAACTTCTGACCTCAAGTGATCCACTCCACCCACCTCGACCTCCCACAGTGCTGGGATTACAGCCGTGAGTCACCATGCCTGGCCTGCTTTTCTTATTTTTAAAGGACTAGAATGGCTTTTATGGAAAAGGTAGTCATTTTTACTCTCAGTTTGAAATACAATGTTTTACCCAGTTATATCAGGCCACCTACAGCTCATGCAAGCACCATGTCAGGTTGCCCATAGATTTGAGTTCGGATTTGATTTCTGCAATTTCAGTTGAAAAGAGATCTCCTCCAGAACTGTTAAGGCCAAATTAATCTCAAAACCTAAAGGACCCAAGATGGAACTATGTTTATATCTTTCCAGGGTTTGTGTACAGGTGTGAGCAAAAATCGTGGTTAAAATGAGCTGAGATTAAGAGCACTTAGACACTAAGTAAAAGATGCCCAGTTTTTGTTAGATGTTTGTATTTCCTTAAATGATACTTTCAAATGGATATATTTCTTAAATAAAGTAATATTTCAGTAAAGAGTTTTGTTTTAAGAAATATGCATTTGTTCTCTGAAATGCATACATTTGATGGAGGATGCTGAAACTTCAGTATGTAGGAAGATTACATGGGAACTTATTTAAAACATATATTTTTGTGCCTCACCCCTAGAGGTCCTGATCCCCTAGGTCTGTGTGTAGACCAAGGGGTCTGTATTGTAAGAGCAATACAGACAATTCTCAGAAACAGTGCCCTGGTGGACATTCAGAGAACAAAGTTGCGACTATAAAATTGAATTTATGTTTCTTCTATTATATACATTCTTAATTTCTTGTATTTTCTGAAAAAGTTTTTTTTGGGAGAGGTAAGCAATACATCCCACAAACAGGTCCTCCTACCCACAACCCACATAGTTTGAAAGTTGGAGATAAATCATTCCAGGTGATTTCCCTTTATAGGTTATGGTTAGAATTTATTTTTTTTCATATTCTTTGTTAAGTTGTCTCATAAAACATTAGATATTTATCATTTATAATTTCCTATCATTTGAATTGGGAAATATTAAATGGAAAGACATTTACTCTTCACTTCTACATATATTTGTTGGTAGTTTTAATTTGTATTTCTATGATTATTTCTCTCAACATTATAGAGATAATGATCACATGATTATACTCTTTCCCTGTCTTTCAAACTTAAGATTTATATTTCAAAAACTGAACAATAAATTATAAGAATACTAATGTTGAAAAGTTATAGTAAAATTAAACATTGTCCACATTGCATGTGTTTTATATAATATTTCCCTTTATAAAAATATTATAAAATATATGATTTATGGGTAGAGTGATATACTTACTATATGAAAGTTTAAATTTTCAGTGATATGTGTTTTATTCTTGGTTTTACATTAACAATATCTTTTAAACAACATATAGTAAAAGTTAAAGTAGAAAGAAAAATAGTCGCAGAATAGAGCTCTTTTGGTTTTGAAAGAAACATTTTCATTAGGAGAGTTTCCAGCTCTATGTTCCAATGTTCGTAAGCATTTATACTATGACCAGACAATTAAAAATGACATGAGATGATGTTGTATTAGTTATTGTCTTTCCTTCTAAACAACTGCCAGGTAGGATGTATAGGGAAATGATTTATTTGAAATTGAATTTCACTTTTTAAGTTTGGCAGAAAATTTGTGGGTCTTTTGCCCTCTACTTAATGCTGTGATTTGCTCTGGACTTACAAGACAAAGTGTTGTTTGTTTGTTTGTTTGAGATGGAGTCTTATTCTGTCACCAGGTTGGAGTGCAGTGGTGCGATCTCAGCTCCCTGCAATCTCTTGTCTCCTGGATTCAAGTGATTCTCCTGCCTTAAGCTCCCAAGTAGCTAGGATTACAGGCACACACCACCATGCTCAGCTAATTTTTGTATTTTCAGTAGAGATGGGGTTTTGCCATGTTGGTCAGGCTGGTCTCGAACTCCTGACCTCAGGTGATCCACCCGCCTCGGCCACCTAAAGTGCTGTTATTACAGGTGTGAGGTACTGCACCTGGCCTAAAGATTTTATAATCAAAGAATATGTTTTCAATGGGATATAAACACTCAAAGAAGTGTTTTGTCAAGTATTGACGTAACCTATAAAAGAGAAACTTATTTTGTAACCACTCGCAGAGCTAGGAAGCAAGATTGTTCCTTTCCTAGAGTGATGTTTTGTCTCTGTGTAGTTAGCAGTACTGATGTTGAGAATAAAAGTGAAGAAGTAACTTGTTTTAGGAGAGCTTGGTTACATCATGGCGACAAAAATGAATGGTTACCAGTTTTGTAGTTTCACAGCATTCTTTAGGATCAGAATGGACCAATAAGGTAACCAGCTGACGAGTCAATCTTTCCTTTTCTGTCTTCTGCAGTCATCTCAACTCGAACTCCACCTCCACCCTCACCGTTGCCATTTCCAACACAAGCTATCCTTCCTCCAGCCCCATCAAGCTACTTTTCTCATCCAACAATCAGATATCCTCCCCACCTGAATCCTCAGGATACTCTGAAGAACTATGTACCTTCGTATGACCCATCCAGTCCACAAACCAGCCAGGTAAAAATAAGAGAGAAAATAAGATTAGCACCTAAGGGAGATGGGACAGGTCTAATTCTGAGACACAAAGGTTAGTCAGACAGTGTGTCTGGCAGAACGTCAAGCCTTGAAATCCATCTTCAGGAAGTTGCTTGGTGACTCAATAAGTTTTTATTTAAAGGTGGCTGAATGACAGGTAGGAAGTGTGTTGCCCCAAAGGGTAAATTTGTGAAGATGGTTTAATGTTTTTAGATTTTCATTGACTAAAGGGAAAGTTTATGCAGAAAGTACATTGACAGGAAAGCTCTGGGCTGGAGTTCACACCTCTGAAATACCTGATTTGACACAGAGACAATGTGCTTATTTCAGGCAGGAGTAAGGTATGTGCTAAAATAAACACACACAAAAGAACTTACAGTTGTATTTGTAGACCAACTATTAGGTATTAAAATAAGCTTTGGTAATGTAAACATTTTCAGTGTTTGATGACTACTTGAATATTCTTTGTAGAGACATGACTTACATTTAATAATGAGTGACATTACTAGAAGCGTCTTTTTTTTTTTTTTTTGTAAACATTGTGCAGTGGTTTTTGGGATTCATTGTGTAAGTGTAGTGACTCATGAGCATTTCTCACTCCCCTAGACATGCGGTTTCTTCTACCAAGAGGTTACTTCATCGCGATTTGGTATTTAAGCGTTTTCCACAGTCAAGTAGACAGTCTTTGTACCAGACCTGGGGCTATCGATAATTGTAATATCTAAAACGTGTAATGTAATTTTGTTATTATGATCTAGTATTTAGCTTTGCTGCTTTACCTCTAAGACTCCTGTCCATTCCTTATTATACCTTTTAATACTTTGCAGATTTTTCACAAACATTCTATCATTACTACAGTGGAACACTTCCTAAAATGCTAGTAAATAGTGTGTGTCTATCAATTTATAATTAGCAAAGAAAGGTGAGAAAAAAATCCCTTTGGTCTTAATTTGTTAAAATGAAACAAAATGGTCCTTTCTGAACTTTTAATTTAGAATAACAACATATCCAGGACCCTTTGGGTTACTTAAAAAGTTATCATTACTTTTAGTTTGACTAAGACATTAAACTCAATATTGAATTTTGAATTTGAAGTTAAAATTACTATTTGTATTTTAGAAGAAAATGTTAAAATGTTGTAGCACTTTTCATGACTGCAGTACTAAAGACAGCTAAGTAAAAGAGTGGGATCTTAGTATATCGTTTAGAAATAAAATTTGTTGTCAGCGCATGGATTCAGAAGTCTCAGTTCCATAGAGCATTTTGCTAGACTCAGCTGGGAACAGTGCACACAAGGTCTGATTTTAATTTGTGTAGAATTTCCATGAATAACAAAGTCTAATTAAGACATCCATTAAAAGTCCTTAACGTTAATTCAGTGTGGAAAATCTTAGAGTTCCATTGGATTTTTTTTTTTAACTGATGTCTTAATTAGGCACTGTTAGGGGAAAAATTATGCAAATTAAAATCAGGCCCTTAGTGTTACACATTTCTTTAATTATTCAGTGCTTGTTTTACGTATATTTCAATTTCTTTATAAGTTAAGAGGGCATATTAGGTGATAATCTGCCTATATTGTTCTCAGTTTTTCTTCACTTTTCAAGATACATATCACCTTCTAAGAGAAGCATATTACTCTCATCTCAAAAAAAAAACAGCAACAAAAATCTCTCAGGATTTTGTAAAATAGGAACCATGTGTAAGGTAGAATAATCCTTTCCGAATGCTGTTAGCTTCACCTTCAGACCAGACATCTCTCTTTTCTATCTACAGTATGAAAGTTCCATCTGTTAACAGCCTTAAAAGATAGAAATTTTTAGTGTAGCTTTGTCTATTTGAACCAGTAGAAAACTAAGGAGAAAATAGCCCTCAATTCTTCTGACCCTGAGTTTTAGGAAAGTTGTCTGCATTGGCTTGAGAATTCTTTCTTTGTCACCTTTATTCTTTTCAAATGAGAGAAGTGTCTATTAGTTCATGTTGTTCAGTTCCAGTAGATGAAGTTTGTAGAATGGGCAGGATAGGATAATATATTTGGTGGCAGCATTTCCTTGAAATTATTGTCATTCTGCTTTTGTTCCAGGTAGGTACTTTCAAACTGTTTTGGTGAACACTGTATATAGAAGCATTTTTACCACTGAATGTACCACCAATGATAAAATGAGATCTGTCTTCTTTCTTGAGTAGGATGTTTAAAGCACTTATTTCCAATGTTCAGATAACCAGAAATGGATGGTCTGCTATAGAAACAAACTACTTTTTCCCTTTGAAAGGAAAAATGGGTCTTTATAGTTAACTATAGATTTTTTTTAAGGAACAGTATATTTGCTTTGATTTTTAACTCCAACTCAAAACCAATTAATTTGCATTTCAAAATAGAATTTTTGGTATTTACCGTTTCAGTTCTAGAAATGGAAAAAAATCAGTATTCCTTCACCATTCACCTCTAGTCAGCCGTTGCTTCCCAGTATTCTCCAGCGCTGCACTGATTTTGATTTTTAAGATAAGCAACTGAGATGCCTTTTCCTCCCCACAGCAATTTTGAGATTAATTGCATTACTGCTGCACCAATTATAGTGAGACAGTCATGCTATTCAATGGAATATTTTGAATAAAATTAGTTTAAAGATGTAACTCTCCCATAGGTTTCCATATTGGAAAACTCTGGTCAATTTTCCTGACATCAAGTTAAATACTTAAAATTACCCATGATGAATAGTCAGGATATTCAAGAAGTCCATTTTCTTTATAGAATAAATAATGTGGCCTCTGAGGAGCCTCACCGAAGACTTAGTTCATGTCTCTAAGTCACAATATTTAAGTGTTATTAGCTCTTCATCTTTTTCTCTAAATAAATGTCTACTTGTAATTTATGTGCAGATATTTAGATAAATATTCTGCTTCATTTTTTTTTTTTGCCTTTAACAGTTCAGATTATAAAGACTATATACTTGCTGAGAATAGCCTCCCAGCAAATTGTGATGAACACCATGCAGTGGAGAATTCCAACATGGGTATAATAAAAAAAAATAACATTCTCTGTCTAGAAAAATATATTCCACTATTTCTTCAAAGAGTGTATCCTTAGGATTTTGTTTCCTACCACGGAAACTATTTTTGTACCCAGGGGCTAAAACTCAGATAATAATATCTTTTCTGTCATTGCCCAGGGGATTTTCTCAGTTAATTCCCACAAATGTCAACAATAAATGTTTTGTGTAACTCTCCATGCACCACCATGGATGGAAGAGTAACTCAAATAACAATGCTCATTTGCTTGTCCTCTGCTTCCCCTCAGTACAATTTAATTTACTTTGGAAATCTTTTATTTGTAGGTGTAAGGACAAACCTAGCTCAGCATTTTATATCATTGTATGACCTCTGAAAGTTCAGATGCTTTAAATCTCATTCTGTCTTCTTGTATTAGTAATCATCAAAAGTTGACTGTAGATCTCGGAATCTAAACTGCCTAATGTGTGCATCTGAGCACACCTGTGTGTGAGAGAGCTAGAGTTTTGTATGCAGGAGAATGACTCTTGACTGTAAATGGTGAAGATTCCAGAATTCGACGTGTTTGATCTCCTAGATATTTTTGTGTCCTTTGTTTCAGTGATATCATCATGTAGGTGAAAACTGTGTTCTAAAAGCCAAAACTGACTCATTGTAGAAAATGAAGAGTGGAGAATAAGGAATCACTGGGTTCCAACTCTAGCTAGTTCAGTAAAGAATTCCAGTTTAGCCTTTGAGCTAAGCGTTTAAAACTGCACTTGAGTTTCCTGGCCTACTGCATCGAAGGGATCAAGTCTACGTGGCTCTCAGGGGTGCTGTAAAGAGGAATTAACCTATACCATGACGTGCTTTGAAGATGAAAACCTTTGAAATGCTGCTGCTCCTTATTACTACCAACCATTGACCGGCCTCTCCAACTCCGACTCGAGAGGGCCTGTGTGGCGCCTGTGTGCAGTGTGCTGGATCCACACAGTCGTGTGTGCTGAGTGGACTTGTTGGACAAGATGACTGCCTTTTGGATTGCTTCACCCGGCATTCTGTTTTTGTTTTGTAGCCTAACAGCAGTGGTCAAGTAGTAGGGAAAGTGCCTGGCCATTTCACTCCTGTCTTGGCACCCTCTCCCCATCCCAGTGCAGTGCGACCTGTGACCCTGAGCATGACAGATACTAAACCCATCACTACATCCACTGAAGGTGAGGCAGCTTCACCTACAGCAACCAGTAAGTATATCTGTAGGAAATGAGAAATGTCCATCAAAGGCACCATTGGATATCTGATCCAAGGTGGAAAACACAGCAATTTTTCTAGCTACCCGACCAGATGGAGATTTCTCATTTAAGTGGAGCCAGCAGGCATGGATGTGGCCCTGCTATCACAGGCTCTCTCTTCTCAAATTCCAGTCAGTGAATCATATTTGAAAAGGGAGAAGCTCATTTGTTTAAGTGAACAGCTGTAACAAAAATAATAAGTCATGCCTGCTTGTTCAAGGTATACATTGAAATTGCACTGAGTAACATAACGCAGAATACAAAGTTTTCCTATCACCCAAAGAGAGATTAGATAATTCCTGCTTATTGGAGCATTCCTATAGAAATCAAGCCCCTTCACAAAGCAGATGGATTCAATGCCTCTGTAAGGTAATTGCATGTTTACATCATTGTAGGTTATGTCATTGTTAAAAACAGTCACATAATGTTGGGAACAGATGAGAACATTTCAAAACTTAGTATTAGGCACATGTAAGCTACCTGTACTTTCATTATCTGCAACCTTTTTTTTTTAAAACCTTTTGATTATTTCACCTATCATGGTACATCAAATACTGTGCTTTTTAGTGTGGACATAACATTTAAATGTCAGAGATTTAGCCAGTGAACCTTCCTAACACATACCAACAAGCCACATCATTCCTTTGTTTTTTGATGTAAAATACTCAGAAGTATAGAAGAAATTAATTTTGAGGTGGTTTCACCCAACTGTCAGCTTCTTAGTACTACAGCTGGAATGTACAAATTGGTGAAGTAGAATGGATAAAGCTATGGAATTGGTGGAATTAGCCTGCACCTCACCAATTATACAGATATCTTAAATTCAAATATTTTATTTTTCTTTCTTAGAGCAAGAAAATCCCCATGATCTTGAAATTTCCATGTGAATCAGAGACAATCAGAGGCATGCACTACTGGCTCTTTCTCAGCCATTGGAAAGATGCTCTTTTTTTTTTTTAATGGTTTCTAAAAGACTACAAAGGAACCCTATAAGAAAAATGGACAATACTTTGTACGTGAATTCAGCATTTCTTTCTCAAAATTCATGAGTCCTGTAAATTAATAAGTTCCTATAGGCTTGTAATACCCATCAGTAATTCTTAATGCTTAGAACACTTCCCTGAATGCACAGATGGATGCGACCCACTCAGGAAAATCTAAAAATTATTTTGTTCTAAAAGTTTGCTATGTGCATTACAGTCACCAAAACACTAAGTACTAATTTTAAAAGTGGATGTCTTGACATGTTTGAGCAAGCAATGTCAGCAATTTAAATAAAAGCACATAGAAAACAGATTTTTTTTTTAAAGTAGTTGAAAGATTATCACAGGATAAATGATCAAAACCAAGTTCTAGAAACTCTGATGCCTACTCTTATGAAGTTATTAATAGAAGAGATTCAGGAGAGGATCAGACCCAAATGATCACAGCTCACTTATGGGAGTACCCTCAGCCTGTTTGTTAATGAATTGTTTTTATACTTACATACAGGTTGTTCAAAAAGGGATCTGATTTGACTAGTAAAATTACAAAATATTCAAAAGGAATATCTTGGTTGTATAAAGATGGCTGCATCAGTCCATTTTCCACTCCTACATAAAAGAAACATAGTGAGTAGTTTTTCTTTCCTATAAACAAGCTTGTAGCTCCAGCTTCCTAGGCACCACCAGTAATAAAAGGCTGATCATTGAATTGATACAGTAGTATGGTTAAAGAAAACACAGAAGCCAAGGAAAGCTCTTCCTCATAGTTGAAAAGAAAAAGCAGCATACATTTGGTGCTCTTCTGTAAGGGTGAGGCTCCTCTCCGGCTGTCTGTGAGGTGTGGTGAATTCCAGAGACTTGGAGCTTGAGTAGGGATCACTGGTTGCTGATGACTGCCTTGCATGGCCCCTTATTCAGGAGCAATTAAAATATGAATTGTGAGCATCTTCACTGTTTTTAAAAAGTTGACCTAAAAAAGCTTCCATGGATCAAATTCTGCAGTCCTTTAAGTGAACAAGGCAGAATTAATATATTGGTTTTAGAAAGCCAGCCCATTTAAAATGAAGCCTGGATTCTTCATTAATCTGGTGGTTTTAAACCAAACAGTGTAGCTTTCTTCACAACAATAAAGGTAATATGTGGTAATATGGAGCAGTGGGATTGCCTAATTCTGGGATGATACCTTACTCCTTTCCTTGTGAAAAATAACAAAAGTCTTTAGGAGTAGCTCCCTATTCGTTTTTTTTGTGTGTGTGTATGTGAAAAATTTACTCTCTACCAAAAAGCAAAAAGCAATTGTACAAAAAGTACTTGCAAATGAGACTCTAACAATATAAGGAATAGTCACCATATATACTTACTACCTAGTGGCCAACTATTTAAAGGGTGCATCAGCTTCCTTCCTGGATCAATTACAAGAAATTGATTTTTGTATTTGTGCTAATGGGAAGTATTTTTTTCAAAAACATTCCTATCAGACTGGAGGCCATTTTCACAAGTAAAATACCGAGCTAATTCATTCTACATGATATAGGCTCCTCCTTCATGATAGTAAGATTTGATTTCCTTTTTAGCAAGACTTTTAAGTAAGACATTTTCCATCCCATATCATTAAGCACATCTGCTTAAATTCCATCATTAAAAACTGTCACTTTTTCCTGGTGGACTTTCAGTCTGCTTTACATTTAGAATCATATACCATCATTGATTATTTCATATTAGACAACTAATACCTGGTGAAAAAGTACAGCAGGACAGTTACTACAGCATGTAAGTGTGAGACACCCACACTGAAGTATGAGATCTGCTTTACTGGATAGATTTTTTAGGGGGAATAAACTAGTTGATTTGAAATCAATTATTATTTCTTTTCTATCACTTGGTATTTACTTAGAAGAGAAATGAAGACACTTTTTTTTTTTTGGTTGCAAATCCCACTTCTCTGGGTTTCTTATACATGGACAGGGTGTTCGTTCTGATAGTTCACAATTTTTATCTTTGTTTTTGTTCTTCCTTAATCAGCCTACACAGCCTCAGGCACATCTCAAGCCAATCGATATGTGGGACTAAGCCCAAGAGACCCATCCTTCCTACATCAGCAACAGGTGGGCAAGTTTCACCCAGGTGTGACGGTGTAGCCACGCTTTCGCTTCCGTGCTTCTCCATGTTGCCTCTCAGATCCGGACTCAGAAGGGGGCTCCCGGGGTTTCTGAGACCAAAACTGATCATTTCATTTCCCAGAATTTTTTCTCATTGATCCTTTGTTTCTCACCTCTTTGAGCAGAGTTTCTCAAATTGGCTCATGACCTTTTCCATCTCTGTAGCATATATTGATAACATCCATGAGTAATAGTGTTTCAGCCAAAGTGTATTTTTCTCAGTCTCATTGGCTATTGAGAACTTCCTAGACTATAGCTTTCAAAGACAAAAACTGCAAACTGTTTTAAAAGCCAACTAGAATAGAAGCAGTATATAATTCGAGTTTTTGAGTGATTTCGTATTTTCCAGATGTTTTGCTCTTCACATTTGTATTTTAGTCCAAGATGATGAGTTATGAAGCTAAAATCTCAGGCGACACTTCATTCCTATTTTAATAGCTTTAAATTGGTTTGCTGATTTCAGATGTGATAAAACACTTTTTTTGGTTCTGCTTTCTTACATCATTTATGTTTCTAGTAGCATTTTAAATTTCACATCTCATTAATGCTGTAAATTTAATGCAAATGAAGTGTTTACCCAAACTGTGAAAATATACAGCCAGGATTAATGGTGACTTATAAACAGATCAACCACAGTCAAAAGCATGGACCATACCAGTGTAGAAATCCCACAGTTCTAGTTACAGGATAACAGAAATAATTCTAAACAGTTCCAAATTTAAATATATTTTATGATGCATATGTTTGCTGCTCTCAAGTTATGATAGCAGAGCAGTTTGAAATTAACAGTATGCAAAATATTACATAGGGGAGAATTAGGCTATAATAAATAATAAAGAGCTGGTGTTAACTAACTTGCTCTATATTTATAAATTGCCTGTGCATATATGAGTTTTTGTATAGGTAGTAGGATACTTTTGCCCACTTCGTTCTAAATCTGTTCACCTCACATACCCTTGTTGTGGCCTACCTCAACTCTGCTTGGTGTAGAGTTCTCAAGTCCTTTCCAGTTGCAGCCCAAGGGGGCAGACTGCATATTAAAGGCCACCACATGCAGAGCTCAGAGAAAATCATAAAGATGATAGCTTATTCAGGATACTTGATGTTTTGCCAGGTTTAAAAAAAGCAAAACAAAATAAACCAAAAGAGTGAGAACTAACTGAAAACATCTGTACACAGTTATGAAAATACCAAATAATAATTAGTGGTTTTGCCAGCCATTGGCTTTTCAACATAATTCTCTGGAATGTTGCTTTTTTTTCCACCTCTAAAATTGCTATAATATGAAATGAGTTATAATTACTATAATATGGTTCTATTTGACAAATGTATGTGTCCATTGTATTTTTTAAAAATCATATGCAGGATGTATAGGTTTGGAAACTTGTTCTTTTAAAAATCATTACACATATTCTCAGGAATACTTTTCTCATGGGACTTGCATTATTCTTTATGACACATCTCTAATTTCCAGTTAATTTTTAATTCATAAAACATGCCTCCATTATTTAAACCTTTAACCCCAAATGCTAGTTAGAATACTCTAACCAGTTCCATTTATTTTGAGGCAGCCTTCCTCCTCCACTACCCTAACCTATGGCAGCTTTAATTTTCTTACCCCTTATAATAAATGTTGAAACCTCATGTAATTATGATTACAAAAGTCCGTTAATATAAGAGTTACTTCTCCTTTCACATATCTAAAAATACATCAAGAAAACTTAACAAGCATCATGAAAATATGAATTTTAATGTAGATAGCATTCTGGCACATGATATATTTTAAAAACTATGAGTTCTAGAACTATAAACTATTTTAAAATCAAAGAAGACAGCCACTTATTTAAGTGGACAACATTGAATCAAGACCACTTACAATATGAATACCTTTTGTTCAGTCAACTATGGTTAATACTTATGGAATACATGATATATATTAATCCTTGGAAGCAAAAAAAAACCCATATGTTCTTTATAGCTAAAAATGTTAAATACCATGTAGATAGATAATTTGTCCTCTATATGTAATAAAAGAGTTAGTGCTTTTTAATTGAAGAAGCCCATATATGCTTTATTTTATAATGAACTCCAGCTTTGAGGCATGCAGAAAATACCTATAAATGCATATCTTGCTATAGATGTATAGTAGTAAACTAAGGCTAGAGTCAAAAGCCTATTCATTTTAGCTTTTCAAATTTTAAAAGAATTATAGAAATGAAGTTTTATGTTTACTATCCAGGAATAAAGAGACAGAAATAGTTTAAATGACTTCAGCAAAGATTATTCTTTCCTTCAGTAGAAATGAGATTGATTTACTGTGTCCTTTCATTACTTTGCAAAGATTTAAAAGAGACTACTCTTCTAGAGGCAGTTTCTCAATGCATTTGGTTTAAAGCACTCAATGATGAATGAAAAGGAAAATCAAGGGGTACATGAAATAAAGGTAATCAATCATGTTATATTAGCTAGAAGAAATTCAAAATTAGAAAGGCAGTGCTTTAGTCTGAGAGGCTTCTTTTAAACATTCCCTATAGCCTTTAATATACATGACCCTTTAAGAATAAATATCGTCACCAGGTACATTCTTCAGTTCATGGTGGCTGCTTTGTAAAGATCTGTCCTTTTAGATTATGAAAAGTACTGATGTGTAGTTTTGAATGTTGTTTTTTTCTTAGAAAAGAACTTCAATACAGTCTACATAAATTAGAGTTAATGATAAATTTAAAGTGGTTGTGTAATTTTGACTATTTTATAAATAATCTTTCCACAAGATGATACTACAGTGGAGTTTCCAATATGGTCATTTTCTAATACATAAGCATACTAGCATTATCAAATTAAGATGAAAAGCTTTATAATGTTAAAATGAACCCTGTACTTCACCTGTAAGAGTAATACATTCATACTGTCAAATCTGAATACTAAAAGTATACACTTTTATATCATTTACTTGGTACACAGACAATTGTTATTAGTAATTATACATCTTTCTGCTCCTTTTTATAATAATTATTGCTGATGACATTGGTTGCTAACTGCTTGGGAATACTAGTTTATTCTGACTAGAAGGAAGTTCACCTATCATTGAAAATAGATCTCATTTGAATCTAAAAATAAATTCACATAGTCATGAAGACTATTTCAAAAAGGTTCATGTAAACCAGTTGATAATCTGCCATTAAAAATAATCCTGTCTAATCAGTCATAACAGTCAGCACCATACCAGCTGATCAGTATTTGACTTTAGACTTTTTTCTTTATCTCTTAACACAATCTTGAATCCTTTTCAAGTTTAGAACTAGTCTGTCTTTGGGATTATTGGCTTAGTTATTGCATTTGCTATTGGCATGGGGGAAATCTTAAAATCAGAACTTCAACTGGAGCTTCATTCTTCTTTTCTTTTGGAAGATGGTTTTGGTGGCTTGAAGAACTCATGGGTCCTGCTTTGGCAAACTGAACTCATTAGTCTCTGCTGAGAAATGTCTTTTTATGATTTGGAACATTTTCAGAAATGTGGAACACCCCCCCTCCTGCGACTTAACTTCATAGAAGTTTAGTAAAATGTAGTATATCCTTTTCTCTCTCATACGTTATAATTCATGAAAGCATTGTGCAAATTCATTATGATAGGAAATGAAGGGACCACATTTCCCAAATTTTATCTCCCTGAGAAAATGGGATCTATCAATCAGAGTATTGGATGTTGCTTAGAAAATATAGAAATTATTTTATAATTCAGTCTAACAATTTTAGCATGGATGAATAATATGAGACAACTTACTTGAATTAGCACCAGTTTCTTATCTGGTCAACCTCATAGTGAGTTGCTAATTTCAGGCCTCCTTCCTTTGCTATCATAGAAAGTTTGGTAGTATTAATACAAGAGAATCTGGCTAATTTGATTATCACCATTACTTTTGAGTCTAAGGTCATAATAGGAGCCTAAATTATTACTGTTGTACATCAACATATATTTAAAAATCTCATTGTAAGTTGGAAATAAAAGTTTGCAGCTAAGAAGCTTCTTGTTTAGAAATAAAATTTCACCATTCGAACAAGCCATTAAAGTACATATTAATTTTTGATGTATATTTGAGATTTCAATTGAATAAATTAGGAGCCCACTTTTGCCTTCCCTAAGTGAGACAATAAAGTCAAGTAAAGTCTAGTTTATAAGAAATCAGTCTTATTTTCATAATCTCAAATTATAATATCCTGACTATACATATATTACCTATAATAAGAGCTAATGAATCAGTGGCCTGATCAATTCAGGTCTTTGCATTACTTCTTACAATTGCATGGATTTTATTGGTGCTTGGGCTTCAGCATGTTACATCTCTTGCATGACTATATAATGCTGTTATTTGGATTTCAATTACTCGTTTAGTTTATATTTAAATTGTTTCAACACTTTTCTTATACACTTTTGTTTTTAAAACTAGAATTTGAAAGTACTTCTCATTGCACTGAAAATTTCTGTTACACAAAATGGCCTTTTTAAGAAATTACCTCTGTAGAGAGATTTTTTTAAAAATAAGATATTAGTTTAAATCTTCTTATAATATTTGTCGTGGCAAATGGCAAAGCCAAAGCTTGGTACTGCCATTGGAAAGGTAGTCATTTATTAGAGGCAAGCAATTAAAAGGACACAAGTGGACTATCAACAAACTTTTCAATACAGTCAGGAAGCAGGCTATCAACACTTGGGCTGTTCTTATTGTGTCTGTTATCATAATTGACAGCTTGACGTAAAACGCTATCACATGACTTCTGGGTAGGTATGTAAGTGGATAAGAGGTCACTTTTCACGTATGCTAGCTTGAAAGGAAACACATTTAAAGGAAGTTTCAGTCGAAATAATGGCTATGCAAATGTTTAGCTCTTTCGCTAGTTCTTAAATTCAAAAAATTCTTCTATTGTCTGTCTTTTGTCATTCACTGGTT